GCAAAAAGCTACAACCCTTGTGCTAAGCAAGAAATAAATATTTTTTTGTACTCCTGCAAGAACAACAGGGATCTGTGGGCAGCTCTGCCCCATCACTGGAGATGGATTCTCTTCCCTCTGGGCTAGGGATCCCTGCACCAACACTGCTGGGAGGGAGAAACGTCCCAGGAAGGGCAATGTCCTGTATTGGGAACAGGTAAAGAGGCTCAGAGGTAAACAGGAGCTGCCTCCCTCCTCTTAATTCATCAGGGGACTCTTGTGCCACCGCTTGACCTTTCTCAGGAATTATTTAAAGCAAGCTGGAAGCTGTAAGGGCATTGGAAAAAAAGTGGTTTCAGGCTGTGCTATCTCAGAACAGTCTGAGGATACCTGGTGAGACAAAGAAAAACGTGCCATAGATGGTATTTTTCAAGCTCATAATACTTTAATCTTCATGTATAGCCTGAAACAGAGCTGCTCAAGTCAGTGTTCTTGGGTGCTTTTCTCTGCAGCTTTGTGTAAGCAGATTGAAGCAATCCCAGTTGCCTGTCACACACCTTCCAGTGAGGCAGGGCAGATAAAGGGTTTAATAAGGTTACTGCATACTTCCCAGTGGCATAGACAGTGGGGGGTTTTCCTGCTTTTGAACATGTGTGTGTTGGGGAAGGAGGATGTTTTATGATGCTGAAGATTTGCACTCCTGAGGAGGTCAAATACTCTGAGCACCTGGTGGGACAGAGCCCAGGGAGGTTAGAAAATCCCATTAATCCAGGCTGGTCAATGAGATCCAGTTACAGTGTGGCTTTGTTCAGCTCTATTTACCTGACACCTCTCTTTACTAAGTGTAAGTAAAGCATTTTTTCTGCTCAGGAACAGTAACAGCTATTACAGCAGCCCTGGCTCCTTTTTAAAATAGAGAGGTACAGTTCATTGACATTTCCTCTTATAATTTGGACATGTAATTGCTAATGACTTTGCCAGGCTCGTGCTGACTTCAGGCTGAGCATTATCATTTTGATTTAACGTTTCACCAGAACTGGTTCAGCTAATCCTGAGCTGGAGGAACTTGGTTTGCTCTGACCATGTTTGTACTACCACCAAAACCATCCTATAACCATTTCCCTGGGATGTCCTTGTGCTTTGGGGCAGGGATCAATCTGGCCTATATCTCCCCTTTCTTTAGGGCTGTGCCATTTACTAATACCCATAGCCACATCATTTACTGCATAAAATCTCCATTCTTTGTCATTTTGGTGAAAACAGATAACGTGAATTCTCTGAAGGTGCTGAATCTTGGCTGAGCAGCTTTGCCTCAGCACAGCTCCTGTGTGGAGACACATTTAACCTGCAGACTGGGTCCAGCCTTGCCTCAAAGCTTCGGGTGGTGTGAGATAGCCACTGAAATACCTTTTTTAGACAGCAGGTAACTCACCCCATCCCAGGATAGACAGGGAAATGTCACCCCCTGGAGATACCCATTGCTCCTCCTCCCATGCTTTTAGCTAGAACAGCATAGTGACTGGTTTGTATCAGCTTCACAGCCCTGAGGTAGCCAAAATTAGGTCAGATAAACCTCACTCTACTTTCCTGCTCTGAAACTTTCCCTTCTGCCTCTTCCTCCTCTGCCTACACATCTTTCCACACCACCAAAATCAAACCCTGCACAGGTTTCCTCATTGCTACCCTTTAAAACTCACCCCACATCTGTGCCTGCCAGCCAGGGGGGCACAGGGGTCAAGGTGAGGGGCTCTGCTAAAACAGGCTCTGGTTTCTGTGGGGTGTGACTGGGACTGAAGCTGTGTGTGCTCAGACATGGTGAGTGGCAAGTCACATCCTCTGTAGAGCTGATGGCAATGACTCAGCCTTCAAATGAAGAGCTAATAATCAGCATTTGGAACTGAGAGCTATTCAGAGGAAAACAGCTCTGTAAAGACTTCCTTGCTGAGTTGCAGCACACACATCGTGTGAGGTTTGGGGCACTTTTTTCATCTTCTGTAATTTGTAGAAAGTTTCACCTTCAGTAACAAAGAAGATGTTTTCATTTCCAGCTTCTGGAAGGATGTTAGAAAACATGAGATGAGGATGAGTTGCCATTTGCCACTCCATAGGTTGTGATGAACTAATACAATCAAGAGCAGAACAGTCAAACAATTTAAAGCACCAGAAGTGGTTTGGGGCACTTTTTTCATCTTCTGTAATTTGTAGAAAGTTTCACCTTCAGTAACAAAGAAGATGTTTTCATTTCCAGCTTCTGGAAGGATGTTAGAAAACATGAGATGAGGATGAGTTGCCATTTGCCACTCCATAGGTTGTGATGAACTAATACAATCAAGAGCAGAACAGTCAAACAATTTAAAGCACCAGAAGTATGGAATCGCATCGCCAAATGGTTTGGATTGGAAAGAATCTTAAAGATCATCTAGTTCCATCCTGCCATGGGCAGGGACACCTTCCACCAGCCCAGGTTGCTCCAAGCCCCATGCAGCCTGGCCTTGAATGCTCCCAGGGATGGAACAGCCACAACTTCTCTGGGCAACCTGTGCCAGTGCCTCACCACCCTCCCAGCCAGGAATTTCTTCACAATATCCCATCTAACCCTGCCCTCTGGCAGTGTGGATCCATTCCCCCTGCAATGGAAGCAAGTTTGATGATTTTATTGCCTCTGTAAGAGGAAATTTTGCACACTGTAGGTTGACAAATTAATGCTCAGAGTCTCTTCCCTGCACAGTCTGTGGTATGGATCGACTGGTCCACAGACACTTCTCCGTGGGCAGCACTGTTCCCCAAGGCTGGCAACATGATTATTGGAAAACTAATCAGCTCTATCTGAGATAAATTGCATTTCCACCAATTATAGCTTAATTGTTGACAGATGGGAACACAGAAGGGAGATGTGTCACATCATTAAGAGAACAGGTGTATAGACAAGTGCCAGATTAATTGTTCCAGTCCATTAAATCATTGACCTTTTCAGCATATCCTCAACATCAAATTCAAAGCTCTCACGATATTTCCATCTCTCACACAATGACCATGTTTATCAGCAAAGTTGTCAGGGCATTTTTGAAATGCACAGACTCCAGACATGGTCTCATTAGCCACAAACTTCTCCTTCTCATTAAATTAATTCCTCTTCTTCCTCCTTCTCTGTGTTGGGGTTTGGGGTTTTTTTGAGTTTTCAGTGAAATCACACATGGGCTTTCTCCAAAGAGCTGTTTTCTCCATGAAGCATCTAGACATGCTGTAACAGGCCATCCATGTAGGGATGTCAAAAGGAGGTGAAATCAGGACAGAGCAGCTCAGTGCTGGGCTGGAGGCTCCAGCTTTGATTTGGGGCTTTGACTGTTATTTCCAACTCCTTCTCTGCCTGGGATTTCCAATAAAGCTAAATACTGTTGAAACTGAGTCAGTCATGGGTGTCTCATTCCCTTAAACACGTGTGAAAATGTGTCTCCTGCTCTTTTCCTGGCTATGCAAACCAGGAAGCTGAGGATGCAGCACAGACATATCACAACAGCTTTGTGGGAGGTAGCACAGGTTTGAGACAGTGAGGCAGGACAAGCTTCATCTGTCCCAAGTTGTCCAAGCCATTTTTGTCCTGGATAATTGAGGACTGCCTCCATAGCTAGTTATTCTGGGTGTTCTGGCTTGAAAAATGTAAGGATGAAGTTTCCAACTCTAAGTTGCTGTGGTGATAATGATATTTATTACTCCTGGAGTCCCTGCCCTGTGGTAATGAACTAATCTGAAGATGTTTTACCCCCTTGTAGCTCTAGAGAGACCAAGAGGAAAGCAATTGAAGGAGAAGAGTAGGAGGTATGAGGAAGAGTTAATGCCCTTTGTCAGCTTTGCACCTTCAAACAGAGGCAAAATTGCTGCTGGAAATCAGGAAGATCTTTGTGCCAGGGTCAGAGCTGGTGGTGGAATCTCTCCTTCCCTTGACAGGCACCGGTTCCTTATATATCCCATTTTCCACATTCAAATAACTACACGATGAGTAAATGATATCTCATTTTATGTGTGCTCAAAAGACTTCATGTGCTCCATGGAGCTGTGGCCTTTATGGACCCACAGGGATAGGAGACAGGAGAACTTGGTGAAGTTCCCTCCTAGATAACAAATTATTTTATAAGGAAAAGCAGCTAATTTAATGAAAAAATACAGTTCATGTGAGATGGAAACTGCACAAACCACTTTGATAGATCAGATACCCCTCATATAACTACCTTTTTCAATATACTTGGGAATGTCAGATCCCAACTCACAGCTTGTTCAAATTCCTGGTGGGTGCTGCAGCCTTGACCAGCACCCCCAGGATATGTGTCTGCAGGAGATGTTGAAGATCCCTTTGCTTCCATCATTCACTCCTCAGCACTGAACCCTGAACAGAGAAAAGGAGTGAGCCAAAGCCAGATTTGTCAGAAGTTTATCTATAAAACTGGAGGTTAGGACTGAAGAAAGTACACATATTGCTGTGTCCAGGACAGGAGAAGAGAGGAAATTAAAATAAAATAAATGATAAAAAAAGTCAAAAAGGAATTTTAGAAATGCCAGAATATTTATTTTATAGGCTTCCTCAATAAATCATTTCACCTTGTAATTTTGAACTTGGGTTTGTGGTTTAGAAAAGGTTGAAACCAAGTTAAACAGGAGGATTGAGTAACCCAAAGGCAAGCAAAACATTTCATTTCAGCTGGAACTTAATATTTGGGGTTAACCCAGAATGTTTCCCAGCTTCTGCTTGGGTTTTTTTTTGCAGCACTCCTCCTCCTCTCTCTACCCCCACTTCATTGATGCTCTGTCCAAGGCATTTTCCCCCAGACACTTTGATTCAGCCACACAACCCAGATGGTCATTATTTACTCCACATCAATGACCTCCTCATTTCCAGCTGTTCTTTCCTCTGTCCCATACTCAGAAATGTCTCTTTCTGCCAACACCATGTCTCCACCCTCAGTCCCTCCATCTGGGAGGGTTCCAGCCCCAACAAAGTTGGGGCTTGTTTCTTCAGCACATACCTCTCACCAGAAATCCCTGTCTTGGAAGTCATCAAAGAGAGAAACTCTCTCTGTCTTGGTTCTCACAAGTGTAGGTTTGTGGTAAATCTTTTCCCACTCCTCAGACCCTGTGCTGGAGGTGTCCCAGAATGGATTGCTTGTTCATGGCTCCCTGAGGAACCAAAGGTCAGCCTTCCCACTCCTGTCTGGTGAGAGTTCAGCCCCATCATGCTGCCTGGAGATTCCTCCACACTCTGTGTTTCCTTGGGCAGAGAAAAAAATAAAAGAGCATGTTTTCCAGAACTCAGTCATCTGCAATTTGGCTGGAAACAGCTATGGACAGCTGGAGGCACACAAAGAAGATCCTGTAAGACCAGACCCCACACTCAGGGCTGGGTGAGGTAGAGTTCACTCAGGATTCTATTTGGTGAAATTAGAGTCTGGCAAGAGGCAGCATGGCTTTATCCCCAAGGAGAATAAAGCTGAGCTGAAGAAACATGAGGAAATAGGAAGCCAAGTCTATTCCCCTTTCTCATGTAGAAAGTTCACCTTCAGAGAAGTTTTTCACTGATTCAAGCACTTTTACCCTTGGTGATACATTTCCAGCTGGTGCCAAAGGTTGTCACATGCAAGAAAAGCAGAACAGAATTTGTTCCTCAGGGATGTCACTACTGAGTGGTGGCTGAGATTGACTTCACTTTCCCCTTCCTTAGGGACTGTGGGAAGCAGTTTCTATGTGAAACTAAACCTACAATGTGAGCAGCCTCAGTGACTGCAACATTTACCCCATGGTCATCCAAGGAGGGCAGGAGTCCAGAGGCTTCATTTTGCATATGGATGCAACATATTGTGAGCACACCACACTGCAGAGTGAAGCCAGGAGCAGCTCATTCTCCAGTTCTTTCTCCTGCTGAGCCTAACTTGAGCTTCCCCATGTGCCCAAGTGTGCTTTGACAGAGAAGACACCCCAAAATATTATAGAACCACGGAATATCCTGAGCCGGAAGAAACTCACAAGGATCATTGAGTCCAACTCCTGGCCCTGCACAGAACAGCCCCAACAATCCCTCTTTGTGCCTGAGAGTGTTGTCCAAGCACTCCTTGAGCTCTGTCAGGCTTGGGGCTGTGACCACCTCCCCAGGGAGACTGTTTCAGTGTTCAACCACCCTCTGAGTGAAGAACCTTTTCCTAATATTCAACCTACACCTCCCCTGATATAGCTGCATACCATTCCCTTGGGTCCTGTCACTGGTCACCAGAGAGCAGAGATCAGTGCTGCCCCTGAGGAAGCTGCAAACTGCCATAAGGTCTCCTCTCAGTCCTTCAGGCATAACAAGGGAGCAGCATGGGGCTGGGGCTTGGCTGCATCTCCCCAGCTGAGGATGGATGTGTGTTGTGGTGAGACTCTGCCAGAGTAGCTCATGTCTTGAAGGAAAGCTGGCAGGGCATGTTTTAATCAGTCTCCCAACCCTGCCAGAGTGACCACTGTGATATTGTCACAGCCCACATCCACCTGTGCTCTGTCCAGACAGGAGCAGGAGGTATCCCATGCTGGGGAGGAGGGCAGGGGGGAAAAACTGGTGTAAATCTTCCCATTTTCCCATTCCAGCTGTTTCCCATTTTGTTTCCTGTGTATGTTCACCCATCCTGCATCCTGGGATGCTTTTTCCTGATAAACATTCTGATTCTCCAAGGATGTGGGGGCCTCAGGGACACTCTCCATCCTCACTCTTAGTTTGCTGTGCAAAGGATATGTGGGGCCAACTAAAACTCACCTGTCAGTGGGAACCTGCTCCTGCAGGACCCTGGCCCTGAGGACTTTGGGTGTATGTGCCTGTGACTCTTAACTCACATCCACTCAAGTCTGTTTGGATGCTAGCAGAGAAGCAGCCCAGAGCCCTGTGTCCTGTCTGAGACATCCCAAAACTTTGCCTTATGAACACACCTCCCAGCCTTCTCCCTACCAGCCATCTGAACCTGCATTGTGCTACTGCAGGGGATGGAGCACTGGAAGCAGCTTCCATTGGGAAACTTCTTTGATGACACTTAAGAGGCTGCTGAGTTTTGCATCTCCTTGGAAAATTATTCCACTTACCATGATCATCTTCATGAAAACACTGATTGTGCTCAGCAGGGATGAGGTCTTGGCTTTCAGTGCTGTTGCCTCTCTGGAGAGTGTCAAGGACGTCCTTTGGGCTGAATTCCTTGATGTTTTGTTTATTGATTTTCGCCTCCCTGTGGAGATTTCGCTTCAGCTCTGCCTGGGTTTGCAAACGAATCATCAACACAAGCAGCAGAGGAGCAAACATGTTTTAACAGCTCAACGTGGCATAGCATTAGGGGGTTGGCCCTGGAAATAATTGCACAGTCAAGTAGCTTAACCTGAGCAAATGGTATTTACCAAACTGGGAATGTGACAGAACATGAGCTGGACAGGGATTTTTGGTTTCTCCGTGAGTCATGGCCAAATGAGGTCAAAGCGTTAGAAAAATCAGAGGTAATTACTGATCACAGGGGCCCTGGGGATGCTCCTCATTCTCTTCTGCCTGAGCATTGACAAAGTTTTCTTTCACCTTCACAGCAAGAGGCTTTAAGTCTCCTGTTCCTTGGGGGAGACATCCTCATCCCCTCCCCAAATCTATCTCAGCATTACCTCTCATCTCTTGCAGGTCAAGACCAGCACCTGAAATTGTGTAAGTGCTGTCACCTGACAGGGAGGCAATTCAGGCTTTGCCCCCTCTTCTCCAGCACCTACTAGGGATTTATTTAAAGATGTAAATAAGTACACCTGCACTTTGTGAAAGAGAAAGGAAGAGCCACCAGCTCACAAACCCCTCAGGTGCTCCTGCATGAAGTGAATATCTCCCTGCATAGCCAACTTGCAGAAATTTATCAGATTTTTCCACTGTGCTTGCAGTTTATCTCACAGCTCTGGGGCATGAGGGGAAAAGTCTTCATTAAAACAATGCATATGTGCTTCTGCCCCCTGAGGTGTTACCACATTGAGTCAGTTCTCCAAGATAATCTCATGATCCAAAGGGAAGAACCACTTTTGCATTTTTGAGGGTTCAGGGGGTGTTTACAGTACACAACACTTGCAGCCTTATTATCATAGATTTATGGAATTGTTGAGGTTGGAGAAAGTCACTCAGATCATTGAGTCTAACCATTCCCCCAGCACTGCCAAGACCACCACTAACAATGTCCCCAAGTGCTACATCCACAGGGCTTTTACATCCCTCCATGAGTGATAACTCCACAACTGCCCTGGGCAGCCTGTTCTAGTGCCTGACAACCCTTTCAGTGAAGGAATTTTCCCTAAAATCCGATATAAACCTCCCCTGGAACAGCTGGGGGCCACTTCTTCTCATCCTATCACTTGTTACTTGGAAGAAGAGACTGATCCCCACCTGACTACAACCTCCTTTCAGGGAGCTGTAGAGAGAAAGGTCTCTCCCTTCTCCCTGCTAACTGCAAGCAGTGGGTGCTCATGCTACTCAGTCATTTAAAAGTGATCCTCACACTTGTAGCCTGAAAAATATTTAATGTTCTGGCTCAGCAGGTCCATCTCATCCAGGGAATTGATACACTGGAGCTTCAGAAACTATCCCTTTAGTTTGAATCCTTTCATGCACACATCAATGTTTCAGCCAGGTCCTGGGCTCAGCCAGGGACAGGAGCACAGCCAGAATAAAACACCAATTTCTGCCCTTTAGGGTGCCCAAACTGTGAGGCAAAGGAGCCTGCAGCCATGAATGGCTTGTGCATGGACACAAATTCATGTGCTTACCTTTGGTTTTGGGCTTGCAGCCACTTCTTGCTGACTCTAGGGCTTCACAGGAGCAATTGTTTGCAGAGGGATGGCAGGTTCAAGCCTCTGCAGGTCCAATATTTATACTACTTAACATTGCTCATTCCACACAATCATAAAACATGATATGAAACTACCTTGACATTTTTCCAGCTCCAATTCTGGCCTTGCTGCTTGGGATATAGGAAGGAGATTGGCAACTCAGGGAGATGAATTTCTCCTTTGGTCCTTCAGAAATGGACAAAACTGGGGAAATCTCTTGAATTACAGTCAAAGCAGCAAACCCACAATTTGACATTAGTTTCGTCCCTGTAGATATTTATCTTTGAGCTTTGACAGTGCCCGAGGCTCCATCCTAGTCCAGAGTGAAGGCAAACCCCAGCTCAGATTGCTTCATGGCAAAGCTGGAGCATGGAGAAGTGTCATAATTTTATCTAAGGTATCCTATCAAGTCATCCAAGGACAGATCCCAGTTATATGAGATCCAGAGCCTGTTCCTTCTGTCCAACCAGTCTCTTTTATGTTGGCCTAAGTAGGACCTTTGTCTGCAGAACTGTGCATGGTACAAAGTGTCTTTCCTGGTGGCTGATGGAGAGGGCAGTGTCTTGCTCTGCAGGCTGCTCTGAGCATGGATTTTTATTTTAAGGAGCTACATTTCCTCCTTAAATAATCCCAAACAGTAAAATGTTACTGGGTCATTTCATGGCTTGGTATTCATAGAATCATTAAGGTTAGAAAAGGCCTCTAAGATCATCAAGTTCAACAATTAACCCAGCATGGCCAAACCCACCACTGACCCATGTCCCCAAGTGCCGCATTACACATTTTTTTTAGCACTTCCAGAGATGGTGATTCCACTATTGCTGTTGTCCCCTTCTAGGGGGGAGCGCAGCACAGCTTATGTAGAAATTACAAGCAGCATCATCCAGGACTTTGTATGTAAGACCTGCTTTGCACTTTATTTGGGACATCATTAACTCCTTGATTATGAACTAGTGTCTAAGAAATGGTGACCTGTCTCTGACTCTGCACCGAACTGCTGCCAAAGCCTGAGCTGTAATTTTGAATCAATGCTAAAATGCAGGATCAAAAATTGGCAGCATCATGTAGAGTGAAGTTCAAATGTCTCACAAAACTGAGTACAAAGAGGCACTAGATGGCAGCATGTGACATACAAACTGCGATAGGGCTGAGCGTCACTCGGTGCCACCAAGAACTGGCAGCTGTGGACAAATAACCTCCCACATCCTTCGGCTCATCTCACTTCTGCTGATGGGGAAGCCAAGCTTCAGCATTTGGATGAAATTGTGTCCCAGGATGTAAAATTGACTCTTTTCTTTTGTCTTGTGAACTTCACAGGCTTTTCCTTTGGAAATACTCTCTAACTGATGTCCTCTGAAAGTCCTTGTGAAGGCCATGTCACCCTGCTCTTCTGTCTTTGAAAATACTCCCACAGGGGAAAAGGCTTATGCTGGTGCTGTGTACACTCCCTAACAGCAAGAGCAGAAGCACAGGGTGGGATTAGCAGTGTCTTTGTCCTGCAATGAGTATTAGCAATGTTTTAAAAAACCTAAGTACAGCCGTGATGGAAATCAATGACTAAAAATTCCATGCTGGTAGGAGATTCCTAAAGGAGGCTGTGATTCCATGTGTCAGTTCTCAGGGTGTAGCTGGGCCCACTCCAGGTGCTGCTGTCACATCCTCCCACCAAATCCAGGGACAAGTTGTTCAGTAGCTGGTGGTCATCTCGGTTCTCTGAAGCCACCAGTGTGAGCCAGAGCCAGAGCCCTGAGCAAAGGGAGTTTGACTGACCCTGCCTGGTGGCTATTCTCTTCTGTATTATGCTGAAAAAACTTCAAACACAGCAAGGGAGGATCAGGAAAAGCACACCTGCTCCAGAGGGTTTGCTGTTCATAGAATCGTGAGATCCTAGAAGGGTTTTATTTGATTTGGAAGGGACTTTAAATATCACCTGTTTTCAAACCCTCTGCCATGGGCAGAGACAGCTTCCACTAGACCAGGCATCTCCAAGCAGCTTCAGGTTGGATATTAGGAAGAAATTCTTGACTATGAAGGTGGTGAGGCACTGGCAAAGGTTGTCCAGAGAAGTTGTGGATGTCCCATCCCTGGAAGCGTTCAAGGCCAAGTTGGATGGTGTTTGGAGCAACCTGGGCTAGTGGAAGATGTCCCTGCCCATAGCACTGGAGTGGAACAAAATCATCCTTAAGGTCCCTTCCAACCCAAACCATTCCATAGATTCATCTTCTCTCTCTTCTCCAAGGGCACAGCCTTGGTGATCTTTTCATGAGGAATCATCAAAGTCCTCCATAAGTTGACCTCCAATTTCTAAAGGGGTAGGAAAACGTACAGAGGTGGGTCATAGTGTTGGCACAGGGAATGGGCTGGGATTTGGAAAAACCTTGTTCTAGTGAGGGGTACAGTTTTGGGGAAGTTATTTCTCCCTTATGAGGGTTGATGGTTTGTGTTCTGTGTGTTTGGGATGTTTTTAATTATTTCCTCTCGTCCTATCCATGTGTGTCTTGTCCTTATCCTCTAGAGATACAGAACTGGATAGCTGCTGGGTCCTGGGACAGGAACCAGCACCAAGCCCCAGCTCAAGGCATTCTCATGACTCCTGTTTTTCACACTTGCACTTTAGCAGCAGCAGATTCTCCTCTCTGGGGGAGTCTGGACTTAACACAAGCCAAGCTGAACCCTCATAAACCAAATAAACCCTATTCTCTTGGAATTCTCTTTGCTTATTTAGACAGCAGCTTGAGCTAATACATCACTCAAGTCCTCTTGAGCATACTCTTCTCATTTCTGAAAATGAAAAGTAATGGAAAATTACATTTATTAAGGGGGTTCTAAAGCTTTTTATAAAACACACATTTTAAGAAGCACTTGTTAAATGCCCAGTGATGAAAATTTTCCATAATGGGAATATTTGGTTGTTCTTGCTGTCATGAAGTACTTGAAACCTGCTGCTGTACAGCCAGACCTGATCTGTATTCTCCCCAAGACCTCAGTTCCAGGAATGTCACTGCTATCATGCCAGAGGATTATTTGCTCTCACTATTTCCTGATGCCTCTTGATGAATGATCCTGAAGGAAATATCCAGCCCCTGGTGAAGCAGCAGTGCTTAATGTCACTCAGTGCGTCTCAAATTGATTTTTGGGAAAGCAAAAACAGGGAGGAAGATGACAGGCCTGCAGATCCTTCTTTCTCTGTCTTGCCCTTCCATTGGTTTTCATGGAGGTTTCTCCCTACACTCCCCTAACACAGCTCTGGGTAGCATTTGTCACCATTCAGCTCGTACAGAGCTAGTTCCAGATGGATGCAAAACTCCTTCCTTGTCTCTGGGAAGGGTTTGGGTACAGATGGAGTTTAAAGGCAATGGGAGAGGCTGCAAGTAGGAAAACACACACAGCCATGCTGTTTGCCTTCCTCTTGGCTTGTGGAATCAGCTCTGTGCAGGACAGAGCTGTCATCTGTTTTAATGCTGAGTTTTACCTGCTGAGCACATTGCCCAGAATCTAATTGTAATTAGGTTAATGATATCGATATAACTGGCAGGTGAGCTGGGCAGGTGTATGATGGAAGTTACAGGGCACCTGGACAGGAGCTTGCTCAGACACAGGTGGTGTAATCACATGCCAGGTTGATGCTGGAGAATGAGGCTCTTTCACCAGGATGGCTGATGGGAGTAAAGAGCTTGGGATCCCAGCTCTGCTGAGTGAGACACTTTCCAAAACAAGCCATGGAAGGGGGAAAATGAGTCTTCCCAAAGCTAAAACGTCCTGGAAATGGCAAAAAGCTACTGATAAAGAGCATCATGTGCACATACTTACAATCAGTGAGCAAACTCATAGCCCCAGAAGGTGCCCCCATTTCTCTGCCCTGCACTTTGCAATCATCCTGCGATGACCTCCTTACCTGTAGAGGCTCTGCAGTACCAGGACTCCCAGAAAGGTGGAAGCTCCTGGTGAAAGATGGGTTTTCCCCACTTTTCCACATCCTGTGGGTATAGGCTGGGTTGTCCTGGCACACTAGGGAGTCAGTACAGGGCACTGAGGGCAGGCAGGTCCTCTCCAGTGAGCATCGGTGCCACCTTGATCACCCTGGGGTGTGCCTTGGAAGAGCTCAGGCCCATTTTTCAGTGGGAGCTTTGAAAGGAGAAGGCAAACAGCCTCATTCACCTTCTTCCCTGAACACAGAGGGATCTTTGTGAGTGACTGTGGGGCCTGGGCAGCTCCCTGCCTGCTCCCATGGACATGCCCACACGTCCTTCCCAGCTCGGTTAAACATTGACCTGTCCCCAGCCATTACCTCGTGGGGGTCAGAGGTGGCTGCTGCTGACAGAGAAGGGAGAAACAGCTTGGCAACCAGTGCCAAGTCCCAGGGAAGCTTTGCTTTTTACCTACAAGTGATTCTCAGCCAGAGTCACCACCTCAGCTGGCTGTTGACTGACCTGGAGGTATTTCTACAAGCTAAATCTTCAGGATTTGAAAGGAAATTCAGTCCATGGATCACTAGAAGGGTTAAATTGTCTGCCACCCTGCATAGGAGAAGCAACCTGGAGACAGGGGCTGGCCCAGGGGCATCCTCCACCCTTGCTCCTGCCAGATAGGGGCATCAATGAAAAAAATGCAGCTTTAACACAAAGTCACCTGGGAATGTTGGCAAAAGTGAGTCATGTTCTATAGTTAATGGAATCACAGCTTTCTAGAATGGCTTGAGTTGGAAGAGACCTTAAAGATCATCCAGTCCCACCCCCTGCCATGGGCAGGGACACCTTCCACTAGCCCAGGTTGCTCCAAGCCCCATCCAGCCTGGCCTGGAACACTCCCAGGGATGGAGCAGCCACAGCTTCTCTGGGCAACCTGTGCCAGTGCCTCAGCACCAGCACAGGGAAGAATTTCTGCCTGCTGCAAGGGTGGTGTTCTGGAGCACAGGGAAAGGAGCGTAGAGGCAGAGCCAAGAGTTCAGCATCATGTCCAGTAAATCCACAGATGAACCCCTCAACTCCCTCTGGATGGAGATGGGGAGGTTTTGAGCTTCAAAATGCCAGTGGTCAGGGGTGGCACCTCCAGGAGGAATTATTCACCTATGGAGTAATCCAACCAGTTCATGTTTTCAACTACAAAGCACTGACATTGCTCGTGACTTAGGCAGAGCCAAGAGTTCAGCATCATGTCCAGTAAATCCACAGATGAACCCCTCAACTCCCTCTGGATGGAGATGGGGAGGTTTTGAGCTTCAAAATGCCAGTGGTCAGGGGTGGCACCTCCAGGAGGAATTATTCACCTATGGAGTAATCCAACCAGTTCATGTTTTCAACTACAAAGCACTGACATTGCTCGTGACTTTGCTTTACAGCACACAGGGAAATGAGGGAGCAGAGCAACTTAGTCTGTTTTTTTCCTTCTTCTTTTCAAAGGAAAACCTAAAATCAACACTCTCCTTCTCTCCTGAGGTTCTCAATGCTTAATGCCTATTTCTCCTTTTCTTTTCTTTAATTACCCTTCCCTTGCTAAGAACAGGTCATTCCTGTTGAGCAGCTTGGGAAAATCATGAATTAAATGCAATGATGGATGTGTTGGAGTGGAAACTCACATGAATGTTAGGGCTAGTGCCTGTTGTGCTGTATTCAGGTGTTTCACCTGGGCACAGTGCTGTGGCCCTGGCCCTGCTGAAGTCCTGGCAGGGTCCCCCTGCTTCCCATGCTACCAAATCCCTTTCCAGGCCAGGTGTCTTCCCAAGACATATGGGTTTCCCCATCTGCATCACAGCCTGTTGTACAGTGATTTAGGGAAGGGGATTGCACAGGGACAGACACACCTGAGGTTGATATTGCTCCAAGCATTTCATGTCTGGGTGAAGAGATGCTCCTCTTTGCATTTAAATGGGATTCAGCATCCTTCTGGCTGGTCCATGAGTGCCAGGTCCCACCTTCCCTGCTGGGGTACAGCTCTGTCCACATGAGCCCAAGGACGTTAGCCTGACAGCACTGCACAGCATTTTGATGTTTCATCAGCTAATGATCAATATCTCCTAGTAAATCCCTAAAATCTCAGCATCTGTGCACTTTGGAGCTACACTTTGACCTCCACAGGCCTTGACTCTGTAAAACAAAAAGGGCCAAGAGCAGTAGCTGAGGGTTTGGGGTGGGAGGAGAAAAGTAGGCTGCAAGAAGATGTCCTTCCTGCAGGTCACTGAGGCAAGTTGTGATCCTGGTCAGTGATGCTCATCCTTTTCTTTAACTGGGGTTGTTTTATGCAGCCTTTCATCTATATTTCAAGTTCAGTTCAATTCCCAAGTGCTGTGCTGTAGAAACATGGGGCTGGAGGAGCTTTGGTCCCATATAGTGCTATCAGGGACAGCCCATGGTCCCTCCCAGAAGAGCTGGAAGCATTTTAGACCTTTCTTTCATTTCATTTATTGCCTTAAACCCTCCACCAAATCCAGCTGGAACCTGCAAGTGATACTGCTCTTGCCAAAATGGGGTTTTCTGGCGTATGTATTGTAGTTAAAACTAAATCATTGATTCCTAAGCAGTCTGATGCCCTTGTTTTAGGGAAGATATTGGGGAAAACTCAAGGATAGGGCAGTGCCATGGCTTTGAGCAGGGCATTTTCAGGCAGAGGAGCAGTTTGTTACTCACTAGCACACAGAGCAAGGGAGAACCAAGGTGAGGATTCAGCACGGGGCACCACACTAACATCCGACAGCAACAGTGGATTGCCTCTGCCTTAAAGCTTCTACTTAAAAATGAGTTTTAAATCACAAAAAAAGCATGGGCAAAGGAGGAGATGGAAAGTGATGACTTCATGCAAATCTCCAGCGAGTGAAGCAGAAAAAAACCATAATGATACAAATAGGCTGTTGTTTATTCTGCTTGTAGCACGTTTAGGCAGCAATAGTGTGAACAAATGGATCAGCAAAGAGAGGAAAACAATCCAGCACAGTTTCACTGGCTGGGATACACACCTCTGCAGCTGATAGATCCTGTTAGGACACATCTGTAAAGAAAAGAAACAGCTTCATTCCCACTCTGTTCCTTGTTGCTTGTATTAACAGGGGATCTTCATCTTAGCCCAGCCCAGGCTGGGGATCCTGGTGATGCTGAAATAACACTGTCCATGGTGACATCTTGCTGAGCCCCCTGGAGAGGGCAGGCACTGGAGGAGATGCTCAAGGTGGGTTATTCGCAGCACATTTGGTTTTCCTTCCAGAGAAACAAGCCCTGGCGTGAAGGAGAATCTGATAACAGCTGCCAGATCAAATCTGGCATTTTCCTTGGGGTACAAAAGAGATGGTGCAACAGAAATGAAGCCTCATGTTGCTGGAGAGGGTAGAAGGGCTCATCAGAGCTCTTCAGGACACGTCTGATGGGTCCCTTGATGGGTGTGATTATTGGTTTGTGCTCCTCTGATGGATCATCAACGGCATCAGGCAAAAGAGCCTCTGTTTATGGTCTGATTTCTTCGGTTTGATGGGTTTTCTCTGGCTGAAAGGCTGAGCTGCTCTCCAGGGAAAGCCATTACCTTCTGTGCTTAGTGAAGAATTTACATGGCAGGTTGGACAGCAGGTGAACAAAGGGGCTTAAGGCATTGCTGAGTGGGATGAACAACCTGGAAAGCAGCTGGGAACAGGCTGCCCAGAGAACCCACCTGGGGAAGTGGTCAAGGCCAGGGTGGATGGGGCTTGGAGCAGCCTGGGCTAGTGGAAGGTGTCCCTGCCCATGGCAGGGGGTGGACCAAGACAGTCTTTGCTGTCCCTTCCAACCCAAACCATTCTGCTCCAGCAAACCTGCTAGAGCAGAGGTGCTTTGATCAAGCCTTTCTTGCTGGGTCTGAAGCCTTCTTAACACACTGTGCCCCTGGCCATGAAATGTGTCAAGTAGGGGAAAACTGATTCAACCATTGGATTTCACACGATTTTCCCTACCTGAATGCTCGGTGAGGTTCCTTGAAGAATCCAGTCCTGGACCCAAAAATGCTTCCATGTGGCTGCTTGACAAAAAGCACTCATCAGTGCAGACTATAAGGGAATCTTTGTTTTTTCCCATGTGTTCAGTTTGGCAGGAGCTAAAATTTCAGTAGAACACATCCCCAAAACAATCTAGTAATGCAAATGACTATATCAACTCTAAAACCAACTTGGGGTAGTGCCCAAACTGCCATGTGCTGTGTGCTCTCAGCCCATCAGTACAGTCCCATCAGGATCTCCTGTCCCACATCACTCACTTTTTAGAATATATTTTTATGTCTTGCTCCTTTCAAAAGCAGCAGCCAGAGATTTGAGTGTGTGGGTGTGCACCCAAACCTAACACCTCTGGGTTTAGTGCCCAGGGGATGGTTGGTTGGGCTGGTTTCTACAGCCCTAATTCTTCAGCCATGTGATAAAAGAGGCTAAGTTTGTGGGGTTTGATATACACAAGTGTTCTGTCAGCTCTGCTGGTTGCAAGCAACAGTTTAGACATGAATGTGAAGAGATAAAGAAAACATCAAATAGAAGAGTCAAATTAAAAGGTCTTTTTGTTATTATTTACATTCTTTTTGTTTTCCTGGCAGAAATACCATCAAAACAAACCCCTAGTAGCTGCTAATCAAATTCACAAACTGTGGGCAGTAGAGCCAGCAGAGCTCAGCAATCTGTGATACTTTCCAGTGGCTTCTATTCTTCCTTTAAAAAAGAATAAATGGAGAAAAAAATGCTTGTTTGCTTAGCAAGTGCTCTCAAATAAAGAGAGTTTTGCATGTTCAATCCTAGGAATGCTGTAAACCAGCCTAAATTACACAGCCACAGGCTTAGGGAAGGGACTGGGAGGCTGGTTGATTTGTTTTGGCTTTTGAAAGACTTTTCCACAGTGGAGGCTAAGAAAAATATTTGTTTGCCCCAAAGCTCTAGTAAATAGAAACTGACGTTTCCCAGGGATGCTGGCGGTGCAGGGTGCTCAGTCTCTCCTGAGAAGCTTGTTGTTCAGCTGGGAGTGCAGCTTTTCTGGGAGAAAAATGAGACAAATAAAGCTATTTTTGGCTTTACTGAAGGCACCCAAATTCCAGTGCCACTTCTAGAGAGGTAGTGTTGGAGAGAGGCAGAGCTCAGCCTGGCCTGGGAGGGAGGCTTCATGTTTTGCATATCAGAGAATATTAATTCTGATAATAATTCCAAACACCAATATGAACATCAACATCTTTCAGAAACAAATTCTCAGAAATGCTAGGAGTGGTTTGCAATGGTTTTCCAAACCTATTACCTTGCTGAAAGGACACTTCATTGAAAGTTCAGTCAAGCAGTTCAATTCTGAGATTTAACTGGAAATATCCAAGATTCATATCCACCAGAATGGTTCTACTTGTGCCAGCAAAAGGAGCTAAATGATGCCAACTTGATGCATATTTCAAACCCACCAGTTCAGTAAGACACAAGCTGAAATTTTTTTTTATTACAAAACATTTTATTGCAGTTATTTACACCCGTTCCTTGATAAGTGTATAAATGTAAACATTTATTATAGATGTATTTCTCTTATCTTACAGTCCTTCCCCTGTTCAGGTTAAATGTAATTTATAAGCATACAAGTAGTGAGGAAATTTAAGCTATATTCACAGAATATACATCTGCGTGCAGGGAAAGTCCACCAGCCCTAAGCTAGTGGTATAGACACTGTCCCATTAGCTCTGCTTCTGCTTCTCGTGTGTACACTGGATTCTGTGATGTCATCTGCATGATCTTCACTTTTCTTCTCCTTCAAGCTGTTGATGAACCTCAGGGTTATTTCATCCCATTCCTCAGGGAGCAGCATGAGCAGGAACCCAATGCAAATGATGATGGTGGCTCCCAGTCTCACAACGCTGAAGATCATTTTGTGCTTCAGGAGATCCACAGCTGTGAAGGAGAGAACCACAATGACATCAAACCAGCAGCAGGATGGACAACAGCATCAGAGCAGCCTGGCCCATCTCCTTGACCCATGTGCTGCACTCTGGCTGTGACAGTGGCCATGTGGCTCTCATCCCCAGTGACCAGCTCCCCGAGTTCAGAGAACAGCTTTGGCCTGGCAGTGTAGTACTGGAAGTGTCACATCTCCTCCAACCCTCACCCCCACCATTCAGGCTCTAGGGAAGCCTTGTGGGGCTGGGTCCAAGCTAGAGGAGTAAAGCACTGGAACAGGCTTCCCAGGAGAGTGATAGAGTCACCATCCCTGGAAGTGTTCAAAAAACAAATAGATGTGGCACTTTGCTATAGGGTTTACTGGGCATGGGGGTATTCAGTTGAAGGTTGGACTTGATGACCTTAGAAGTCTTTCCCAACCTCAATGAAACTATGATTCTGTGATTTCTGCTCTGAGAGGGAGGCACTTATGGTAACTCTTTATCTACAGTGGGTTACATCAGGAGAATGTTTCCGTGGGCTGCATGGACCAGTGATGGAGAGAGAGCAGCACACAGGTCAGAGAGCTGGAGCTGGTGCCTCCAGGCCTAGCTGCCCAGCTCTACAACCAGCACCACCAGCTCACCTGAGCCCTTGGGCAGCCCCATATAGGCACTAACTCTTTTGCAGCTCTGATCTGTATTCCCCTAAAAATAGCTGTTTTTGAAAACATGCTCAAATAACTGAAGTGGCAAAGGCTAAGGAGACTAGAAGAGCAGAGACAGAGGCTGTTCAACAAGACAGGACTCTGGAGTAAATTTTCACATATACACCCTGCCCAGGTGACAATGGGTTTTGACTATATAGGCAACAAACTGCTTGTTCTGTCACATGCCTGTGGGCTTATCTTCCACCAACAGCTGTGGTACTCATACCTGCATTTCCAGGGACGCTGAGCACTGTGCCGATGGAGATCAGAATGGGGTATGTAAGCACAACACCAACGTTAACCAGAATATTGAAAGCTAGGGAAAAACAGAGAAAACAACACATGATTATGGAGAAAAACACTGGAACAAGATATTTCTCCTCCTCCTTAACCCTACAAGTACAATGTATGATATCAACCTCCACATCACAATGACGAAGCTGTCACAAAGTGATTGATTTTTTTATTTTTATACATAAGTGTGAAATGAGGGGAAGTTCTGCACGGGGGAAGAGGGGAGGCTGACAGCATTTCACAGGCTGTAATACTAAGGGTATCACACTCATATTTCATGGCTTTTTCCAGCCTTTAATCAGATATCAGCAACCTGCTTTTGCTGCCAGAAGCCATCATTTCTCTTCCTACCAGAAGGCTGGTAATCTCTAGCTTGATGGAGATAAGTCCTTGACTTAAGAAGACATTTCACTCATGGAGCACTTGCACACTCCTCTACCTGGACCACACACCAAATATGACAGCAGGAGCTCATACTCTGAAGAACACTAAATAAATTAGCTGATGAAGTTAACTGCAAACTAAGTAGATTGGAGTGAGACCATGGTCTTGCTGCTATGTTGAAGGCAGAATGAAATCTGACAGAACTACAAATGTTCATCACCCTTAATTTATGGCTTGGTTTTTTTTCACATGGCAGTATTTCCAGCCAGCTCCAGTTTCCTTGAGAGATTTAAAAGCAAACTGTGGAAACTTCCAAAAACTTCCCTCTGATCACCCACCACCCAGTCCTGCTACTGAATCCCCTATGTAAAAGGAGCATAGATTGCTTCACTTTGTCTTCTCCATGAGGTTGCTCCCTCATGGCTGGGATTATACACTTGGGTAGATGGTTGGCTGATAAATTATCCCTAATTTTTGTCCCTTAGGAGCTCATGGAGGAGCTGAAATTCTGGTTAGATGTGTTCAAGGTGCTCACAGCACCTCAGCTGTCAGCCTGCCCACGTCCCAGGACAGTTGTGTAGCAGGCAATGACATCCTCTTTGCTTCCATATAATACATGTGTGGTGGAGATAGAAACCTCTTCAGTTATGAAATATTGGAGACTTCACAAAAGGAAAGGATGTTGTTATACCTGGAAATTAAAACACCCCTGGGCTGAATCCAACAGAAACTCTGCTTGGCTAGATGATTTCAGGAAAGAGGGAGAGCTATGGAATGGCAGTGTAAACCCTGCCCAGAGCCTGCAGCACCCACTGAAAGGTGCCCCAGTGCTGGGGGTTCCTGTCAGTGCACAAACACCCAGCAGAGTGTGCCAGGAGCTGACTGCATACACACAGCCCTTTGAAACAGGATTTAGAGCAGAAGCTCTAAATCAGAAATTGTGTCAGAGACAGGGGAATACCAATGGAACTACAATAGGGATGTAAAAGTAGACAATTAGTATGGCTGCTTCGTGTTTACTCCATGTTATTACTATTACTTATTAATTATAATCATTGGTTCTATATTAATAATTAATCATATATTAATAATTAACCATGCACTATTAGGATTACTTCATTAAGTATAATGAAAAATATGAATCATTTCCAAGGAGCACAAGTTTGCACTGGGACCAAACTTAATCTGTGAGACAGCTCTGCTGTTTAAGGGGACAGGGGAGAATTCTCTGTGCCTGAGGCTAATTTTATATTGGTGGGGGGAGGAAAGCTGGAAAAATGAGTACATTTTTATCACGTACCTAACCAGAGACCTGCTACTCCACACAGGTAACCCCATGGCACAGCAGAGAAGGGGTACCAGTACTCCACTTTTGTAAAATACAGGATGATTGGGGTGACAGAGATGAAGATGAAATTGAAGAAGCCCAGGGTAGAAACGAAATGAGCTGCTTCCCCAAAGTTTGCACTTCCCAGGAACATTTTGAACAAAACCTGTGAAGGAGAGGAGAGAGGAGGGTTTAGACTTCATGGGAAGCAAAGTTCTGCACAGTCTCCGTTCCCCTGGGGAGAGTGGGGCATAGGACAGCATGTCACAACCCACTCCTTTCCTACACTAGAGTTTTGCAAGGAGATCTTTGGTCTGATTTCTTACCTTTCTTGTGTTTTAGCACAGGGAGAGACACCATGTCGCTATGTGGGGACAGTAGAGTTTGTATAACAAAGCTTATAAAATTCCAGGAGGAACATATGTAGAACTCAGGAAAAACCAAGAAGGAACCAAGAACTCAAGGACAACCTCATTCATGCAATGAAGTTACAGGATTTGAGCTGTGCATGGGATTGTTAGGATTTGGAGGGGACTCCAGTGACTTCCTCCAGTGACCCTGCTGTGAGAGCAAAGCCTGGGGGGACTTACTTCAGGCAGCACAAGCCTCATAGAGAATTCATCCTACATGAGCCTAAATTCATGCACTATGAGTGACTTTCAAACGGCCACAACAAATTTATTTGCAAGACAAACAAAGTCTGAAGTTGGGAGGCAACTTCTGATCTCACTACAATTAACTCCAGACTTCCCACACACTTCACCCTCCCTAAGTTGGCAATAAACACAGCCATGTTCATGTTTCTGAGACATGACCCTGCCTTCTCCACCCCTTACCTTCCAGAGCAGCCACTGCTGCCAAGCAGAGGGCAAAGCCCTGTGCTGCCCTAATGCATCACCTGGGACAAGCTCACACCAGGGCTCCAAGTCCAGGATGTGCAAGAGAACTGCAGTGCAGACCTGGGATGAGCTGCCTGTTCCTGTTCAGGGAAAGCAGCATTTCCCACACCCAGGCTCTCCTCCCCTTTGCACATGCAAAGTGCCTTCAAAACAATGTTGATAAACTGCAGTGGCATTATTAAAAAGTGATCCTAAACTCCTTGTAGCATAGTAATGGAGATTTCATTAAAGACTCATAAAGCAAAGCCATTCTGAATCTTTGGCAGCTGACAACTAATTACTCTCCTAGCAGATTTCCTGACATTGTGACATTGCCTGGTCGCATTATGAATGATGCAGGAGTGCTGAATAAAATAAAACATTTATTTTACAGCTTTGTGCTTGTGCATTTTTAACAGCCAATATTAATGAACAGAAGAACAGCAACAAACAGTTATGACTTACCTTATACAAGGCAGACGTGGAGGCTGATCCCACAGCATATGCCACCCCAATAATTGAATCGCCCTGGAAACCATCTGCATATGCCATCATCACAATCCCTGTGATTGCCATTATTGCTGCAACTATCTGCACAGACAAAGCAAAGCAATGTAAAGCTCAGTGCCATTTCATCCCACAGGAAGAGATCATCACTGCGTGGGGTTCTCAGGAGGGTCACTAGCTGCTTTCTCTGACTCGAAGTTTTCTTGTTTTCCCTTAAATAGGGAAAATTATGGGAGAGATGTAAAGCGAAACGAAATGTGTATACTGATAGTGATATGAATCTATGGCATTGCAAATTCTCCTGGCACCTACTGACAGAACATCCATCATTATGTGTTTTATCAGCTAAACATCCACTTTGGAGAGATGACTCGAAGATCAAGACATTTTAAGACATTATGCTCTACTACACAACAAGAGAAATATTTAACACCATCACCAATTTGACTAGATATGCAAACATTACATGGCCAACCTTCCTGGACATCAGCC